GACCTAGAGCTTTCTAGGAACAAAGAAGTTAGCAAACGCTGTCCCTACCACAATAGTTCATTCAGTCCACAGACTGCCCCGGGAAAGGAAATGAGACATGCGGACTACACATGAACACAGGATGGAGCTTGGGTACACAGCGACCACAGCTATGACCTGTTCTACCTCCCCAAGCTGTCTGAATAGCGCAAGGAGAAAAAAAATGCAGAAAGCAGCACAAGACTACAGAAATACCAATAAAAGCTTTAAGTTAGTGTTGCACATCAAGACCACTTTCTGACTTAAATTTTGTATGCTCTTGATATAATCTAAGATCTCATCTTGTAAATTTTCACCTATTCCAGCACTTTGACAAAGGGTCTTTCCTGCATTAGCTATCTGTAGCAAAGAAGCCTGCTTCAACTTCTTAGTGTGTATCCACCCTCAACCTTACTCAAAACTCAGTCCTAGAATTATTTAATTTAAAATTGTTCTGGGAACAGAGATTTTACATGTTTCTGAAACACACAGCAAATTACTTCACCATGAGCTGTACAGGCTTTTTGAAGATTTTTTTAAATCACCTAATCTATTTTACTAAGATAGGAAGCACAACATTTTACAAAGGGGCAAGAAAGAAGATGAATGCACGCAGGTATTAATACATCTGCTGTGGCAGCTAGGGAATTGCTGTGAGAATCTGATGGAGATGCGTTTGTTACGATTGCGTGGGTGGGAAATGTTGAGGGCAGCAGCTAGAGAGAACAATTATTTACTGCAGTCAGTAAAGAATGCCTCAAATTAGAAGATAGTCACTATTAACTTGTTAACAAACATAGCCTGAAGTAGTGAACTTTAAAAAGTCCCTGAACCTCAGTTCATCCCACCTAACACTCATCACTTTGCAAAGCAAGAAAAGGCTCCAACAGGGTCATCTAAGGACCATGCTAGCTCCTTTAAGGTGCACATGCTTCTAGACAAAATTCTGCTAGTGACAAGCGTGAAAAAGTTGCAAGTGGCACACATAGTTCAAGAAGGGGGACCAGAAAAACAGCTTTTCGGCATTTTAAGAGGACAGAAAAGAAGAAAAAAGGAAGGGTGTGGATGATCAGAAAGACAGACTCAAACTCCTCCTGAAAAACCGTCTACTATGTTTGTATTCTCAACAAGACAGACCAGTTAACATGCCACTTCAAAAAACCTGCTATACAGTGAAACTCTAGTCAGCTGAGCTATATTTTCCATTCCAGAGGTAAATAAAATTATTCCTTTATTACTACATAACATCAGTTGCCTGTTAACCAAACGTTGAACTTGTTACGGCACAAAATGTTCATTTTAGCATGCCTTCTATGGCTCGAAGGTCTAGAACTGTCTCGAGCTGGGGGTTAACCTTTCTGGTTTGAGTCTCTGGCTAACTTTTGAAAAAGTCAAAGGTTGCCAGACCAGCTCATACCACCACTATCAGCAGTTCCCAATCATACACACACAGACACAAGAAAAGCGTACAGCTTCTCAGAGTTCATCTATCACTCTGCTGTAACGCTACTACATATTACTTCTTACGGAAGTATGCAAAATAAATGACTATTTATCTCTTCAACATACCAAGACTATCAGAATTACTTGATGTTCTGAGCATGCCCAGAACACTTGTCTTTTTTTTTCTTTTAACATTTGTGATACCTTTACAGCATTGCTATCTCCTCTGCAGCAACAATAATATGCCTCACAAGTGTACGGGCTTCCAACCATCCAACCTAACACAAAGGATTAAAGAATTGCTTATAGACTCTCTCAAATATTTCACAAACTCTTCACACAACCAATGCTCCAAATAAAACTTGGTACTATGGGCATGAACACTGACTTATCCCTGTGTGAACTCCTACTTTTCAAGGGTAAAAGCTTGACAAGTATCTAAATTTCTTTAAACATAACAGGAAAGGAAAACTCTTTCAAAAGAAAAAAATCACGACTCTAATATGGGTCTTGTACCTGTGTTCCTCCTCTACTCCTTTTTTTTTAGGTCGCTAAAAAGGAAAACCAAGTGGATCTGTTTCTCAGACTATGATTAACTCCCACTGCGTGGACAGTGTTTGATCATGAAAATATATATAAATAGGTACAACTCTGCTTACTTGAGCAGCCTTGTTAAATGAGTGTAAGAAAATTGGGCACCATTCAAAGTGTAAGAGAATACTGTGCAGACTCAAAAAAAAAAAAAAGATTACTTTTCCCCCCCTTATTATTTTTTGTTGTTTGTTTAATTTAATACCTGTACCATGACTTTAATCCTGAAATCTGTTCCTAATGGGGAATACTTGGACCAAAGCAGTAAATCCTTAAAGTCACCGATGTACTAATTTGTGCAGATAAGAGTTCCTTCAACAAATTCAAAGCCAACTATGTATATTTTATATATAAAATCAACTCTAATTTACCTTACTGCTAAGGTAGGCTGGAATCCTTTAGAATGAAAAGTTCTATACTAGTACGTGAAACATTACTGCAGGCTCACAGAATTATTTTTTAAACTAAATAAGCAGTTTGCATAACATCAGAGTTGTAATGTTTGCCATAAGAAGTTGTCATAATCTGTAAAAGTAGAGTTGGTGACTATAAACCAAAAAAACAACCAATAAGATGTCTTCGTGCAAGATCAACTTTGCTCCCCGAGGTTTTTAACCATAATAAAAACAAACACCAATATTAGAATTTTGGGGAGAAAGTGACAACTTTAAATGTAAGTAACCTTTTGTATACAACATACATTTAATTCAATTACGGTATTTTTACATGGTGCAGGGTGGAAAGAAGCACAGAAGTAAGGATTCATTTGGTGTGTTCAGGTGAGAAGTTTTCCAAGCATGTAAATTACAGACCTAGTCAGATATATTGAGATGTGACAGATGTAATAAAGATAGCTGTATGTTTCTTTCTATTCCTGGCTCATCTGGAGAGTGTCCTGTAGAAATTCAAATCTCTGGGGAGCAATTAGTACAAATCACTAATAGAGGTAACAAGTCTTGTTCTCTGGAGGAAACAGCATATATTGGTTTGTTCTGGTTCAAGTGAGATGAAACAAAGGGAAACTGTAGAGAAGTGCACTTCTCCTAGGTACGTACAGACTCTGTCTGGAACAAGGGAACTGACAAAGTAGGTGCACTTTCTGCTGGAAAACGGAGGCAACCTGGTAGGCTCAACGTGTGAGCAAAATGCCTACTACTAAATATTGCTCTGAAACAGTTTATTTATGTTGAGATGAACATGAGGAACAGAAAGGGCACTGCTGCTGCAGTTCTCCAGTGAGAAAGAGGAAAGTGAAGTCCAATCGGGATGCCCTTGAGAAGAGGCCAAGCAAACCCTGAACGCTGACGCCGCTGGCCTCCACGGATGTGATGGGTAACTTGCAAGAAATACTTCACATACCAATTCTCCTCTGCTGTAGACAGGACAGACAAAACACAGGCTGGCATAGGACCACAAAAACTTAGCAGGAGAATCCACTCCTCTGGTAGGCTATCTTATTAGTTCTCCCGAACTCCTGGAATTGCAAATATTCAGAAATCGGAAAAGCTTTACAGGGAAATGACATACATGTTTGCCTGTTTCTTGTTCTTTCCAGTCATCTGTTTATGGCTGCTACTGGAAAGAGGATAATGGTGAAAGTCACTGCCTGAGCCAGGGACCAAAAATGGACCACCACCAGGCTGAACTGGTTTAGGAACTTTCATTTTCAAAAATAAAAATAAAATTAAAAAATACTACTTTTACATGCCTTTAACACCAAGTTACTCTGTTTAGAGATCAGAACTCAGCATTAACTTCTCAGAACTTGATACTAGACAGCAGAGTTTTTTAAGCCCATTTCACGTTTGGGGAAACAGCCAACCAGTATTTCTCCCCGAGTAGAAAAGCCAGGATCAGAACCCAATGTCCTCTTTGCTACCCAGACTGACATTTCAAATGGTCGTCGCCGTCTTTCAACAGCCTATTGGGCAAGTCCACACCAGCCAGTAATTTGCTACAAACAACACACAACGTCAAACTTCCTTTCTATGTCAACTCTGACTACAGCAGGGTGTTTTGTGTGGCTGCAAGAAAACTAGGGAAAGTCTTCAAGGCAACGTGCTGCCAAAGAGCTGTGGTGCGGGGACACACATAGCAGAAGTACTCTCTCACAAGGGCTGAACTCATTTAAATGGCCAAAATGTGGGTGGGTTTATTAATACACACTTTAATTGGTCCTCTTAGCTAAAGAGATGTTCGTAAGTTAAACATGAAACCAAATGTAGCAAAACCAAGCTTAACAAGCATAATACCTAAAGGTCTGGTTCCACTCTCGCCTTCCAATTTGTGAAGTCACTTAAACTAACAAAGCGGACGCAAACCAGTACCTCTCTTAATTTGGCAACGTGCTGCCAAACTGCAAAGGTATATAAATGACTCCATGCACTATAAATAAAGTGTGTATGAAAACCTCAACTTTTTTTTTTTTTTTTGAAGTTTCTGATCCCCCCCCC